TTTTAAAATTTGGAGAAGAGAGACATTGAAAGGAACGGTAATATATTTTATAATTTCATGTTCTTTTCCATTGTTAATTTTAAAGTAATATAGATTGGTATTTCCTCAAAAAAAAGTAATATAAATTTGTAGAGATCAATTATTAAACCAATCTCTTCATTTTTTTTTTCAAAATTTATTTATTATATTACAAACTTTGTATGTATCAGGCTAATCAGCTGTCATTTTTGGGCGGCTCAAAACAAGCGAATATGATTTTGACACTTAATACTAATTATGAGTTTTTCCACAATAATTAATGAAATATTACTATTTTCACATTGACTGAGTTCGGGATTATGCAATGTGAACATGTGAGTTTGTGCGCGTTAGCTTTTGTTAGTTGGTTCCTTAACTTGAAAGAAGGGGTTAAGCTTAAGAGTCTTTATCCATTAATCTTTGATTAAGGGGATGAGTCAAAGGCGTGCCACTTCTACGTTCGTCTTTTTGTCTTCTATCTTCTTATTTAAAAAAGAGAAAATATTTGTGTCTTGGACAATCCTTCTTTTGGTTGTGTATTTATCGCTTTCTTATCTGTACGATGGGATGTTTATTTGTAATGGTTCAATGACTTCCCAATAAGTCTCCAACTTATCCATTAAACTTTCCAAAAAACCAAAATCTCGCAGGATCTTCTCTGTTACTAGAAGGCACATGATTGATTTCGTCTACTCTCTATCTATAGGCCTAGCAACCTTGTCCCTAGGAAGTCTATCATGGGAGAAATAATTTGTTTTTCCTTATAAATTACAACGATTTATAACCATATGGTAACTGCATAAATGGGCGTGATAAAAATTTTTAACGTCAAGAATCTTTGTATTAGGTATGGAATTTCTCTCAAAAGTTGAGAACAATAAATATATTATTTTGTTTATGTGCCTTTTTCCATCTAAACTCACCTCAGCAAAATCCTGAATTCGCTAATTAAGATCGATTCTTCCAGTCCTAGTGGGTTAGATTTCCGAATCTCCAAAGGAAAAGCATGCAAAATTACATCAGTTAGAATTAGGTAAAGCAGGGGGGAATTGACTTCCAACAGATGCTTCTCTTTTCTGCTTTCAAGTTGGAGTAATCTCGTCAGCTCGTGACTAAGTATTTCCAAAGACTGACATGTGGCGACAAAGCATAGGTGTAAAGAGGAAATCCATGAGTTTTTGATTCTGTAAGCAAGGGTGGAGGGTTAAGTGGCCATCTCTTAGTAGTGTGATACCTTCCCTGCAATGGAAGATAAAAGATTAAAGAGAGCAGTGATGTGATTCATGTGAATCTATCTTTCCCTCATAAATGAAAAGCTCAACAAACTTTCTACATCCTGTCTCTTTGTGACTATCTTCAAATACGCTATTTATTATTATTTTATTAATGTTTTTATACTAGATATATTAATCATTGCTAAATATTATAGAAGTTTAAATATATAATTTTGATATTAGTGTAGTCCTGCTTTATGTGTTATGTTCTTATGATCTTTAGAATGAATGGTTGTATTTTTTGTATTGTATATAGACCCTATATATATAAATATTTACGTTATGAATAGAGTACCTTTTGTGTTTTTTATTAATAGAACTTTTTATTTATTGAAAAAACCTATAATTAATACTTTTTAGATATGTGTACTATCCCATTCAAGTTGTCGTTCGAAACTTTTACTAGCAGATGGATAGTGTTTTTCTCAAGTTATTGGTTGATTGGTATTTAATTGTATGAGGTAGTACGTGGGAACCAAATTTTAAAGGAAGGGAAAAGAAATGCTAAGGATCCACACAGCGTCACGTGATAGCTTGGTAGCTTTGTCCTGCCGTATCAATTCATGAGGTTAATAGCGTTAGATGATGGAAAGGGTTGGGCGGTGTAATCAAAATGTGTACGCCCTTCACTCCACGCTATCTTCTATCTAAATCTAATGCTACTACTACGTTATTACTCAACTATATGCAAATATTGCTTTATGTTTACCTTACATGAGGGTGGATTCAAACCCACTTCATCACTCCCAAAATTGTAAGCCCAAATTTAAGCAAGAAGAAAACACTAGATCTAAGTCAACAACACCCGTTTGAAATTTGAATTGATAAAATTCTTTGGCTAATTATGAATTTTTTTTTAATTAGCAAAGATAATTATGGATGTTACTACACAATCTTTAGTAAAAAATTGAACCTAGAGATCTCTAGACTTTACTCATACAAGACTTAAAATTTGTTTAATTATGGTTTATAAAGTACAAATGAGATAATTCTTTTTCCCAGATGTCCCCTTGCCCATCTTGAGCATTCATTCCTGTGTTATTTAGTATTGTTTTGAGGATCATGGGCTCACCAACGAAGTCTTGACTTGGTATTTAAGATGGAGGTCCTACCACTTTTAAATTCGACTCTTGCTTTATGCAAGTTATTAGGTATTAGATGCTAATTGATTGACACTATGTATACTCAAGTGAATTGCAATGAAATTTGTACCCATTAGAAAAAAAACAAGGACGCTTATAATTTTGGTTAAAGTCTATTCCAGTTTGTTGGGTGTGGTTAAGGACACACAAAATTTATTTAATTTGATTAATATTTTATTAATTTATAATTTTTTTTAAATAGTTAGTTATGATTGGAAATATTAATTTATAAATTAATTTTAATACATTAAGTACCAAATATTAGTTATTCTAAAGTTATTAAACTGTTTTAACAACTAAACTAAATAAAATTAATATTTTTAAAAGACAATTTTATATAACCTTAATATAATGATACATGATTATAATCATAATTTTATTTTATTAATATAAAAAATATGTTTTTTTACTTGATATGCTTAGAATTAATAGTAACATTTTTAGTATATTCCATAAATTTTTTTTTCTTTTTATTTTGAGTCACAATGTTAGCAACAACTTTATTGCATTTTTCAATTAACTTTATCTTTGTGTTATGAGATTTAAATTTGAATTTATTAATTTTATTATAAATAAATTGTCATTGAAATATTTAAATTGTTAAATAAAGTAAGAATCAAAGTGAAGGAACCCATTTGAAAATTTAAATTTGTAACCCGTAACTCTTGTTAGCGGTGTGAGGGAACAGATTTCATAAATTGAGTTCTGCTTCAATGGTAAAAAAGTAAAATGATTTCTATTCCAATGGTTAAAAAGAGGAAAAGGAACAAATTCCATAAATTGACAGGTGTTGATGGAGCATGTATGGTCGGGGGACTACGTTAAGAGATACGGTTAAAAAGGTAGTCCTCTCCTCCCCCACCCCCCGCAAACCAAACCAAACTCCACTCCAACCAAAGCAACTCAACTGCGGGAAGCATTCCTTTCTTTTCTTCTGCTAAATTTGGACAGAATCTGTTAAAGTGAAGCTGTTTCGGTGGGACCCACTCTTTGTTGGGACGTTTCCAGACAGCTGTGTTGTTTGGTTTCCCTTCCCCCCCCCTTCCTCTCGAGATGTGCACGGTTCCTCTCTCTGGGACACGTGGAGTGGTCCTAGGCCATGTCTCGTCGTGCGCTGGCGCTTCTGTCCGAGTGCCACGTCCGACGAGAAAAGATAAATCACGCTTCATGCACGCGACTACACGAGTTGTGGGGGTTCTGTCTTGATTGCCACGTATGTAATGTATTGGGTTTAGTCGCTTTTTTTGACTCCCGAGTGTAAGATTAAAGGACACGTCATCTCCCGTTTTTCGTTTTCCGTTCACCCTTGAGTACGTCACCGTTCCGAGGATCTTCCAATCTCCCGTCAGTAGGGTTTTACCAGTACCATTTTTATTCCAATTTTAAAAATAATTATATCAAGGAAAAATAACTATAAATTATGTAATTTAGTACTAGAACTATTTATATTTTTAATTGTAAATATCTAGTGATTAGATAAGAAAAACAAATAAAAATAAAGAAGAAAGGTAAAAGGGTTCTCAATATAATTTAAATTGTACGTTAAAATTACTATATAGACAATAAGCTTCTCTTACGTTTAGTAGTTTAAGTTAAGTAATACAAAGTGCACAAGACATTTATAAATGAGGAGAAATTTTTTACACATAAATTTTATATATTATATTTATATAAAATTTTAATTATTATTTTTTTATTTTTTATAATTAAAATTTATCATGATTTTTTAAATAAAAAATAATTATATTTAATAAATATAAATAAATCTTAATTATTAAAAATAAATAAATAAATAATTGAGATTTTATATAAGTGTGGTGTATAAAATTTATATATAGGTAAAATTTTATTCTTTATAAATATAGCAACTTTTTTTTAAATTAGACAATTTTATCTTTATAATAGAGCATTGATTGTTAATAATCAATAATTATTATTTATATATAAATTGATTGAGTTTCTAGTTTTACTACCTTTAAACAGGGGAGAGCCCCCAATAACATTACGCCTATCTTCTTGTCAAAACAGTGCAGCTTATTGTGTAAGTAGTCTGATGTAGTTTAAACTACACAATACTGGACTGCACGGTAATTTTCCAATTTGATTATTCAATTGCTAATTAACCTTTCCTCCTAATAGCTAAACTAATTGAAGCACATA